CTGTACTGCTTCCTCCCTCCCACATGGATGGGAATAAAAGGTTCATGGTCCCAATGACCATAATGGAGAAAAGAACGTGTAATTTCCCAGCAAAGATTGCCTTGCTTTAGAGAGATGTCCAATTCACCGCAGTATCTTCTACTCTTAGGAGCATAGGCTGGTTTTAGAGCATTTTTCAGCTGACTGAGGAGTTACATAATTGCAAAATTAGATCCAATTACATAACTAGGGTAAATAAGTAATAATATAATTAGGTGCTGTAATTATGTAGTTATGACAGGTACCACTAATGCTGATAAAAGCCATTATGAAACTTGCTAAGAACTGTGGACAGAGCATGTGAGAATGAAAGTTTCAGGGCTTTGTTTGCTTTAGTGTTTCATTCCTTTCAGTGGGAAAAATAATTAATTTAATTGCTAAGCCAATAGCCTCTTACTTTTGAAAATGAATGGAGGTACAAATCATAGGCTAATTCATATCTCTGTTGAGCTGCAAAAATTCAGTAACTAATCACGTCCTTTTTTTTTTTAACCTCTATATATGTATTTACAGCTACCAAGGCTTGGGTGAAATATGTGTGTAAAAATTATACCTCTGAAAAAAGAAGTATGAAAGTTTGGACATTGACCTTCATTGTTCCAGTTATCACATTAAACTGTCTCCTCTGACAAATGGACACAAGGAACATTCAAAGATTGCTGTATCAATGTAACACAAATTATGTGCATCTCTAGGTTTGCTAGCGATGGTGTTTCTGATCAAATGGGTCACATAAACAGGGTTTTTCTACAGGAATGAAAATTCAATAGAGGAATCATTCATGCAGGTTCTAAGTGCAAACACAAGGCATGCAGCCAGCTTTTCTACGTTTCTGTCTCTTCAGATATTGTATAATACCTGTCTGACTTCATAAAAGAGGCCTGGAGAGCAAACAAACAATAAAACCTACTGCCCTGCTTTAATATTCATTAATATTTCACTCAATAACAGATAAAAGATAGTGTGCAAGAATAAAGGGCAGCACTGGAAGAGCTGAAGTGCTTTATTCCCACCAACATCTCCATAAAGCTTGAGGTGTACAAACTGTGTGTTGCTTTAGAATACATTTTATGCTTGATGCTTTTTTCTAAAAAGGAAAAAACCCAGAAAAAGTAATACCTTTCTTTATGAAAGCTGGATAGCTCCTGACTACTTCAATCACTGCTCAGAGCAGTATGCTAAGCACTGAAGCAAACACAGAGCTTCTGGGAAAATCAAAACCACAGGGAACACCAGGAGTTTGCAGAGACAATGTCCACAGTCCAGAGCAAGAAAGCAAAACAAGTGCTCTACCTCAAGGTCATTTGAGGCCAGAGACATGCAAGACAATGGGAGCAAACCACCCCTGGAACAGAAATACTAGTGAACTTAGAAATCTGCAAGAATCTTGCATTCGAGTGAGGGTTATGTACAACATCACCCACATATTTCTTTCCCCTTCTTGAGCTGAAAAACTGGAGAGGTGAACAATGATGTGCACATAAATCCCATTCATTTTGGCATCCAGCCTTTCAAATAATATTTTAAAACAAGGAAACCACAGCAATTCCTGGGTTGTGCTATCAGCAAGCCTTCAAACCAGATGCTGCACTGTTTTCTGGACAAATGATTAATAGAAAAGACTGAGAGTCACAAAGTAGACAGTCATATTTTTGGGCTCTGATGAGGGTGGGCAATAGAGAAAAGGACTATCAGAAATGGTAGATGCTTTTCCTGGTGCTTAGTTAATACCAATCATTATTCCAATGTTACTTTTTGCAATAATTTGTAAGACAGGAGTAGGCAAATGCAAATAATAATTGGTTCCTTACTGCAGTTGTAGGGACAGTGAGGTTGATACTTGGAGCTAAACTATACTTTCTATTAAAGTTACTGCAGCATACTCCAAAATTTTGACCTATGTGTATTGAAGGACTTGAAGACTGGATTTGGGTAGAAGTTCTCCTTAAGTGATTTGGCTTTGAAAACACAGAATTCCATTAAATTCCAGAGAATCCATTAAAGCTACAGAAGCAGCCATAGAAGGTATTCCTGATCATAACAAAAACAATTAAAATTAAGAGAATCCTTTCAGGAGTATGATTCACAGAGTTTTTTCAGCCATATTCTGTATAGTATGAAATATAAAATCTCATTCCACCTTGTCCTTTTCAAAGAGGACCTAAGACTGCCCTGATACCCCAGTCACTCATATTTATAAATATTTCCTGGAATCCCATACAGCCCCAACAAGCCTTTTTCAGCAATGAGTCAATTCCATTGGCAAGTCCCTTGTGAAAGGTTAATTTCAAGTCTCTTTTCTGCCAGATCCTATACCAGGATGTGCTGTCCTACCTGGGACTTGGTCACCTCTTCCAGCATCACAAGGATTGTCACACAGCTTTCAGGCTGTCACAGAGTCTGAATCAGCTTATCTGCCTTCATGACACAAGCCATGCTCAGGCTTAATTAGTGCATGGAATGCAGCACATCTCACTTGCCTGTGGTGTAATTCATTACTACAAGGCTGTGTTTGGGACACACCAAGCACATTTGCTACAGCAGCTCATATGTCTGACAGCTGCAAAACTGCCTCTAAGAGTTTTCCTTTTGACTCTTCTTTTGGTCCTAAGCAAAGCTGTATCTCTAAATGTCTTCTTCCAGTCAAATATCATACTCCATTCCTGCAGTCAGATTATTTTCTTTAATTTCTTAGTATTCCTTGTAGCATGTGGCATACAGTAAATTCTCTGGCTCCAAGAAAAAATGTCCTTTTTTTGTTCACTTACCAAGTTCCAATTACTTTTGCTATGCAGCACATCTTCCCTGGATTTCATACTAGGAATTTAAACTACACAAAGACACAACTACTAATCCCATACCAGACACTTGTAGTTTGTTCAACCATTTATTTCTCTTTTTTCTCCCACTCTACCCTTTATACTTTCATCCAATGTAAGCTTTACATTTCTTGATCCATAGGTACCTCTCCAGCATCCAAAATAACCTTTAACTGGAAAAAGAGGGTTTAATAATCCCAAAATCTGGATTGCTGCTAACCACTTAAACTACCAGCCTTCTGCCTTAGAGGAACAGGGTCTTTGAGAAATCAGTTCAGTGCTTGGGGTCACGTGACTTTTCGGTGCTTTTCTGTTTTGGATATTCAAAAAGAAGTTCCAGCCATTAATGCAGAAGTAAAATACATTAATGGATTACACATCAGAAAAGTCAAACCACTGCTGCCACAGGATTAAAATACTTACTATGAATATTAATGTGTCTCTTGGAATTAAACATTAATACTTAACATACATATCACAAACTTTTAAAATCCTACAAACATTGCAGGGAGAGGAAGAGGAGGAATGGACAAATGAGACAGGCCCCAGAGTCTGGTTCCAGAAATTAAAATGTATTTCTGACATAAACTAAAATATTTCCATTAGTAACAGGACAACTCACCACTATGAATAATTTGTCATAATGCAACAGAGTCTACAAGGATTTGGTTTAGGTTTTCTACCTCGACCACCAAACTGCAGATGTGTAGGTCCATTACTGCCTACAGCATAAACACCCTGAGCTGGGCAATGAGACTGATGGTTCAAAATTGAAGGAAACAGGCAGTTCCTCTGCACCTGAGCACTGAATTCCCCACATTTGCCACAGCACCTTCCCTTCTAGTGGCAATAGCACTTACAAAAGCTCAATTTAACTGCAACAATCAAGCATACACTCCTGTCTAAACACCACCATTTCCAGTAATGTGAGTTCTTCAAGGTAAGCTCTGCATAAGCCTGCACAGTGTGTGGCAGTCAGCTCAAATTTTAGCCTGCTCCCAATTAGGCATCTTGTCTAAACTAACCATTTAGGCTCTCAATGGAGTGAGAAAGGTGAGTCAGCCCAGCTATCCTGGACACCCATCTGAAGGCAGAATAAATAACCCAGCTTTCTGCACTGTCAAGGCAGAAAGGAGCTGGGATTGATTAAAACCTGGTGCCTGACTTGATGACAGCTGAAGTGAAAGGAGAAGAATCTTCCCCTTGGCTAAACTGGAGAGTAAAAGGCCACCCAGCACCTCAGTAATGAGGCTGGGTGGTATGTCCAGTCAAAGGCTTGATGAGGGATAGAAGAGAGATAGTCTTGATAAGAAACGTGGCTTCAGAAGTGCATAAAGAGAGAAGCCTGATGCGCATTTGGTTACAGCCTCCTCTGGGATTCAGACATATGCCAGCTCTGCAACCACAGAGCCTGGCACAGGTCCTGAGCAGTGCAATAACTGCCAGCAAGTCCACGGGAAGAAAATACTGCACCAGAAAATCCCATCAGGCAGGCAGAATTCCTCAAAAATGAAGCCCCAAACCAGGCAGCCTTGATAATCCACTCCTCTTACTGAGCAGAACGAACCCTCTTCGGCAGCCGGCTGGAAACAAAATGTAATCGAACACCTCTCTGGCCCAGCATCATCACATTTCTCTCTCTGTATTCAAGTACTCTCCCTGCTTCACAAGGCAGTTTCTGTGGCTCTTCAAATCCCTGTAGCTGCTCTGCTTGGTCTTTTCACTAGCTTGTTTATAGCAGCCATAGGAGAAAAGCACCAGCCCTGAGCACTGACCCCGCAGTTCAGTGTGCAGCAGGAGATGTTATTTTTCTGGACAGCAGCCCAGAGACACTGGACAAAGCTGGAGTAGCAGCAGATGTTACAATGCATACTCTCCTGCCCCAGCTCTGCCTAATGAGGCTGCAGAACTCACAGAGCATGAGAGCACTGACGCCAGACTGGAAACTGAGGCCTGCACCTTCATCTTTTTCATTATATTTAAGACTGGGTTTTATTGCAGACTAAGACACGTGAAAAGATCTTTAAAAATACAGATCTATGCCTCCTATTGTTCAGAGAGAGGGGAAAAGAAAGATATTATGTGCCCTAGCTGCAAGGAGCATCTCTCAGTTGCATAAAGCACTTGCCCAAATTGACTTACCACAATCATTTGTGCCACGTAGCTCTCCGGGCCAGTGTATTCAGTTGGATCTTTAACTTTGACAAGAACTATAAAGTACAAATAATGCCACATGTTGTGTTCTGCCTTTATATGCTCCTCAAATGAAACTGTCTTGTTATCAAATTTGTCTCTCTCCAGTCCTGCAAAAAAAGAACATAAAACCAAAAAATAAACTTCAACATAAAAATACACAAATCTGTTAAATATGTTAGAGAAGGGAACCTAACTTTATTTAAAGGATCATAAATTTGAAAGATCTTAATTTAAAAGCCATAACTGCCAGGCAAGAAATGCCAGGCCAGAAAGCATTCCTGAAAGACAGAAGTCTTTCAATGCAGCATTTATTCTCTTTTGTGATATTTCCTCTTAATAACAATAACAATATAATAAATATGTTACAGTTTTACAGAGCCTTCTATGCTGAGGGCCATAAAGTGTTTACAAGTGTTGGCTCTCACTCTTTCTAGATGTATACTGGGAAGCACATAGTATAATAATGTGCAGTCCAGGCCCTGATCTTCCAAAGATTTATGCACACTTTTAGCATCAAACATATAAAGAGTCCCACTTAAGCTTCAGTGAGATTGTTTGTGGGCTTAAACCTGGCAGAGAGGGTGAGTCCCTGCAGCTCTGTTGTCACACAGCCTTTAGAGAGCTCAAGTCATAAGAATTTTTTATTTATTTTTCCCTGCAATGGTCCACATCTCTGAAGAAGAATACCAAAGTGAGGTAGGAGAGGAATCACCAATGTTTGCCTCCCTGGATTTCCTGTCCACAGACACTAAAGACATGTTGTGCTCTGCACAGCATTCATCCCTGTCAGTACAGCCATGGAAACAGCATCCAGGCTACAAAAAAACAGGTATCTGTGAAGTCCCCCAAGGAGAGAAGGTCTGCCCCTCTTTGTGAGTGAACTTCAAAATAAGTGTGATTTTCTGTGGGCTTTGTGGGGATGATTTCCACCTAATTCTTTTGTTTCCTGCTTCATATCACCTTCTGAAATCGGCAGCTCGTGCTGATGCTCCCCCTCTGGAGCTGTGAAATAGAAGCTGCACATCTGCAGCAAGCTCTGAGAAGCAGAGTCAGCAGCTGTCCCATCTCCATTAGTGGTGATGATGCAAGTGTGAGACACAGCTCTTCTGCCTCAGATTCTGGGTGGAGACTGTGAAGCCACCTATCAGCAAAGCTAGCTTTTGATTCATAAACCAAATCTGTCTCCTACTGAGAGAGAATAAATTTGGAATCAGCCTCTGTAATTTTTACAGACTTTCCTTGTAGAAGATAACCACACCTGGGGTCCAAGCTTTATTTATTGAGGAATAGTTAATTTTCACTCCTTTCACCCTCAAATATCTCAAGAGATCAGTAACACCTACCACAGATGAAACAGGTGGTCTTTAGTATCTCCTCCTTTTTCTGCTTTTCACTCCTGAGATCAGCAAATGTATCAATGATGACTCCAAAGATTAGGTTGAGAACAATAATTATGACAATGAAGTAAAACAGAAGATCATAAACAACTCGTGCACCAAACAAGGGCTCCTGCAATAGCAAGGTTGCAATAAGGTACAAAAATAGCAAAAATCTAAAATATTAAACATTTTCATATGAGCTCAAGCAAAGCAACAGTTCTTTCTTTTCATATGCCAAATTCTGCTAGCCTTCCTCACAGGACTAGGGAGGGACTATTCAAGAGCTTTTCTTCACCATGACAGAGACCTGAAGTCACCCAATTGCTTCTTTCTCACACATTCATGGGAATAATAGCACTATCCTTTATGGAGTGCGTCAATATAATTAGCATTAAAGAGCTGCTAAGTGGCAAGGGTAAATTTCAAAGGGTCACTTTCAAAGTCTGTAAGTGCTTACAGACTCCACTGGGGATAAATTCTGGCTCTTGCAGAACCTCCCAGTCTGTGAGACAGGATACAGACTGCTACAACCAGCACAGGGAGGTCTTCCATCCAGATCTGAGCTGTCTCTGGACTTTTGCAAGCCCTGATGAGATCCTACTTTATCCTGAATTTATTTATAACATGTATGGTATGGCTCATCAAGCAAAGTGCTGCTAGATTGCCTTTATATGAGATATTCTTTTTGAACCTAAATAAAAATGCATGAAACCACCCAAATATTAATGGAGGTCCTTAAATAAACCACATTTTTGAGGAAACTTCTGGAAGAGAAAATATGCCACAACAGATTAAATTCTGGTTTGATCTTCATGCTGGTTCAGTACAAGTAAACTACAGGACCTATTCCAGGGCAGGTGCCATGCTGAGTATAAACGCAAATGTTCAGGTGGAACTTCCTGGGGTCAGTCCCTGCTCGTCGCTGGGCCCCTGAAGCAGAGCCTGGGCCCTGCTCAGAGCCCTCTCTGCAGACAGGGACACCCAGGGCTGAGGGCCCCTCTCAGCTGGGGCTCCTCTGGAGGCTGGACAGCCCCAGGTCCCTCAGCCTTTCCCTACCAGAAATGCTCCAGGCCCTAAATCATCTCTGCATCCTCCGCTGGCCCCAGTCCAGGAGCTCCCTGTCCCCCCTGTCCTGATGAGCCCAGGACTAGACACAGCACTGCAGATGTGCCTCCCAGGACTGACTTCTTAGCAATTCTTTGAAGGTTATGATATTCTGCATTTTTCCAGAAGTGGTAAACAACTATCTAGAAATCCTTCCTTCAAGTATTATCATCACACCAAGCCTAGCTCTTCCCATTAAATATCCCATCTGGGATCTAAAAATCACATGGATTAATCAACTGTGTGACATGAGATCAGACTAGATACAAACACTGTCTATAACCTCCAAAAATTGACTTTGGCATTCATGAGATGCACAGGGAGTAATGCATTTCCTGAGCCAAAACACTCACATCTTTGGAAGGCTTTCTGAGCACATCTCCCACACCACCACCATTCCGCAGGCCTTGGTTTAACACGGTCACAATGCACATGAGCAGGGTGTCACAGGTCCTTTCTATTCCATCCTCTTTTTCTTCACCTGCAAACAGGAACCACAGCATCAAACAATCACTCATCAAACAAAGCCACAATTCTGTTAGAGAAAGCAACTGCAAGACACATCTGCCTCTCATATTTCTCATGCAGAACCTCATTGATCATCCCCACCCATGTGCACATCCCTGCTGGTGACATACTTAGGCACATCAGGCACACTTAGCCTGAAGAGAGATGGAGAAAAGAACAAGCAGGGCTCCCACCAGAGCTGTTAATGACCCAGAGCCACCATTTCTGCTCACGGGAGCACCCCTTCTCTTTGCAGTCCTCCCACTGCTTTTCCAGTGGGCCCCCTATAAATGCAGCATAGACAAGAAGCAATATAAACAGAGAATTAGAAGCACATTTGTAACAGGATTGTCTTCCTGTGAAATCATTCCTCTACCTACTCATGTAGAAGCCAAGTCATGTTAGCATTTCAAACCATTAAGGAGGGGCTGGCTTTTGTTTGAGTCAGTCTGTCCGTGATCTTTCCACCAGCACACGTGCTCAAGCACAGGTCTGACAGACATTAAACGAAAGGCTCTCCCTTGCCTCAGCTTGAAAACTTGGATTCTGTTATCTGTGCTGCAGAGCTGCTGTGTGGGTTTGGCTGAGCCACAGAGGGTACTATTGTACAGGAGATATTTGAACGTGCAGAGGAGTTGGGCTGGAACACCAAACCCCAGGGGGACTTGGTCCACCTTGGCCAGAGTCCCTCCCACCACATACTCACTGCTTCCACAGCCTCCCTTTGAAGAGCCCTGCTTGAGCTGTTCCCTGTGTCCCGCTGGCTTGGGCTGAAGGGTCAGGGCTGTGACTGCGATTCCTCCTGCCTTCCTTCCTCTTTAGGGACACGCTTGCTTGGGTGGGGAAGGCAGTGATTCACATTTGCTTTGCTCCATGCACTCATTACAATGGAGTTTAATAAATAACAACATCCTGCTGTGAGAGTTGACTGAAACACATATTTAACAGCCCCAAACCACCACATCTGGGGCACTCAGATAGACTCTGATAAATTGAATTGACTGCAAGCACTCACATTGCAGACCAGTAATTTGGATTTAAATTTAATTTTGAATTTGGGCTCCCAGATTGTGGTGCATGTATCCTGGCTGGGATGGGCAGGACAGTGCTGGTGTCTGCTGCTTTTGCCATCACTGCTTCTGCTCCACAGGCAAATTAAATGAGAAACAGCTCCCTGCTGAAGGAATTTTGAGCAAAAAGAAAAGCAGACATCAGGACAGACTTCCCTGTTAAACTATATGGTCATTACAGACACTACTCCCACAAATAATCCTGGATTTAAAAATAACTGCTTGAATATTGAAACTGAAAGGATTGAAACAAGAAACCTTTTTTATCCTGTCATACCTAAATTTTTTTTTACTAGTGCAGTAATGTTATTCATACCAACTAATCTTTGCTGTTGTATCCTGCCATTATTCCCTTTTTCAAACAATATTCTTTCTTTTTTTTTTTTTGAGCTGTGCTTGAGAAGGAGATCATCCACAAAATAAATAAAAAGCCTTCAAAAAAGCCATAGCTTCTATTTCTTTTAGGTAACTACAATATTTTCTCATTTTCTCTGTTCACAAGACCAGACACAGTTGCTGGAAGCAGCAGATGATCAGATTCTGGTGAACAGAGAGGATAATCCAGGGCTGAGAATTGAAGAGGGAATTATCTACCAGCAGCCCTAACACCCAGCTCTCCCTGTCCACTGAGATAATTCATAGCAAGCCAGGCTTCAGAGAAAAATATACAAGCCAGGCTTCAGTGAAAAATATACATCACCTTGCACATCTTGCAACACAGAACGTCAGCATCCCAGCCAGAAAAGCAAGCTCAGTTTGCAAGATCTTTGCCAGAGAACCAGACAGCCCAAAGTTGGCAGAAACCTCTAGTGCAGCAATGTAGGCTGTGGACAGTGTACAAACATTGTTTTTGCTGTTCTGTTCCACTCCCAGATGTGGAGCTGCCTTCAAGCTGGGAGCCAGGCAACCCTACAGGCACATGTTCTGCCTCAGCTGTCTGTTCTCAACACTCAACAGCATTCACAGTTCAGGCTCAGCCCCTCTAGGCACCAGCTGTGCCCGTACTTGAAAGAAAGGAGTTGATCTGTGGATAACTATTGTTAAGGACCCAATATTGACAATAATTGAGGTTCAGGGTGGGTTGTTTGCAAGCAGTTCCACCCTGGAAAGTGGCTTGTGAGGGTCTGGACAGCATTAGGCAGGCTGTCTTCCGATTAAATTTAATCCACAGGCAAAACGGGTTAAGGGCTAAGACCACCCCACAATGTTAATCACAGGGGAGGGATAATAGGGAGATTTACTTCAAAAATCCTCACCTGATGGCCCACAGCTACCTGGGCCACACAAGCACATCAGGTGAGACACAGCTGTGCCCACATGGATCCAGCAGAACTTGCACAGAGCAAGACCAGGTCTGGCGGTGGAATGAGTCTTTGGAAATGTCCCATTTTACAAACAGGTATCTCTGCACCTTTCTAGCACAGGTCTTTACGGGCTACAGAGGATGAGGAGATATGTAGTGTAGGATGTGAAGTTCTTTTAAATGATTAGGCACTTCACCAGGCATAGACTGAAGTGATATGGAAATGTCTTTGGAGTGGACAGAGGGAGACTCTGAGCCAAATGAGATGAAGTATTTTCATGCTGACAGCCCAGAGCAGCAGTGAGCAGCAGGCTGCAGAGAGGGGAATCTCCCTGGGCACAGCACACTGCCTCCCCAGGGAGCTCCCTCACCAGTAAGAGCAATGACTGGGCACAGGCTTCACCAGTGAAACCCAAGGAAGAAGCAGAGTCCCATTTTTCTCTCTCCCACACACAGCTGTGGACTTCTCTGGTGCTGCAATTGAAACTCCCCAAGTCTCACAGAATCATAGCACCATTAAAGCTGGAAAAGACCTCTGAGACCCAGTCCAACCCCTCACCCAACCATGCTATGCCCTCCACTAAACCATATCCCAAGTTCCCCATCCCCACAGCTTTTAAACACTTCCAGGGATGGTGATCTCATGCCTTTGCATTCCACCATGCTCACACTTTTGCCAGAGGGGAAATCTGTCCCAGGAAAAGACAGAAAGTAGAACAATTCTTTTGACCAATGACTAAGGTGAGCAAAACTGCTTTTGCTGAATGTTGGTGGGTTTTAATGGCACTGGAAAAATAAAATTTCTTCAAGATTAAGAAAGAGTGCACTTAGATGTTTTGTACAGACCTCTTTCATTATGGTTTGATTTTAAAGGTGCAGTACCCAAACAATGAGAAATGTGAGATTTTTATCATTTAAAGAGCTGGGCAAAAGCCGTACTGCATCTTTTTTACTGATTGATTACTCTTTGAATGCAGCAGCTTTGCCCATAGCTCTTAGACTGTTTTCTCTATCTAGCCAGACAGCTTCCCATGTTGTTTATGAGGCCTGTTTACACACCAGCTGTGGAGAAAAAGCCTGCTTTTATAGCCCTCTCCCAGAAGGCTTTGATCCTAAAAAACTCAAAAATTAGCAGAAGAATAAAGCTTATGAAACAACATTATACTGGCACACAATAAGGGACTTTTTATGTCCTCACTTTCAGCCCCCAGGTACCACAGGCAACTGTGGCAATAAATACTTTGAGCCTGCAGACCATCCACTGTGCACACACCTCCACTGCAAAGGCCACAATATATCAAACCAAACTTAAAATCTGCACTGAAACACCAGCCACCTCAACTAGACTGTGCTCCATGGAAAGAGTGGGAGAGAGACATGTGGGCCTGGATCTGGGTTCTTAGGTTTTCTGGCTACAGTACAGCACTGGCCCAGATACATATAGAAAAAATACACAAAATGTGCTGATAGATCTGCTATGCCATGAAAATTAATTTTTGTGGCCCAAACTGGATCTAAAAGAGGCTCAGTGTGTGCAGGTGAGGATGCTGCAGACAAGCAATGAGCTGCTTCTCTCTGCTAAGTCACTTCTCAAGAAGCAAACTGTACATTCAAGCATAATGATTCAGCAAGCTCTTTTAATAACAAAATTAATGTCAGTGCATTTGGAAATCAGGTGTGGGAAGCACTCCCATTAACAGCAAAGCTGCCAACTAAGCTCCAAGCCTTGCAGAAGTTGAGCACTTCTGACTCACAAGAGTCATTGTCACTTCTCACACCAGCAGAAGTCTCTGCAACAGCAACACACAGATCAAAGAATCACAGAACCACATGTCTGGGTTGGAAGGGACCTCAAAGATCATCTCATTCCAACCCTCTGCCATGGGTAGGGGCACCTCCCAGCAGAACAGGATGCTCCTACCCCCATCCAACCTGGCCTTGAACATTTTCAGGGATCCCTCGGTTCTAAGTGATCATCAGTCTGAGGGAAGTTCTGTACTGACCTGGGTTAAGAGCTGGGATGCTCGTGGAACAGTTCTCCTTTGCACAGGCTCCCATCATTGATGTCAGCGTTGTAGTGGGAACTTCACCAATACCTGTGGAAAAGCGGGATGTTGACAAAAAGACAGGCACTACATTGATGTTAAGTTTTAAATCATTATTTTGTAGGAGCGAAGCACCAGGTTGGAGAGTTACGAAGGAAAAACAGAACAAATCACACCAGCAACTCCTCCCTCCTTGAAAGATTCTGCCTCAACAGCTCAAAGCAATCACAATTAACAAAAACACAGTTTTACATTTACTGTATCACAGCTATTCCCATTTCATCTCCTGAAATTAGTAAATCTACATCAAATGCAGCTGCTTCTGGTGAGCACAAAATGTATTCAAAGCAAGAAACAACTGTCAGATATGAAAATAATGTCAGTTTTAAAAACCATTAGATAAATTATTCACAAAAGCTGACAAGAAGGACACCAGGCTGACATTCAGTTATCCTGAATGTAGAATATTTAAGGGTTTTCAAGGATTATAACACAGTTTGGTACTCATTTGTAAATATGTATGGGTTTGTGTAAAACGCTAATTTAACATTCCCAAAGTGGTAAATGTGTACATCAGCTTGATTTTATCAAACCAATTTTCTGTTGTACACCTTCAACAATTTTCTGCATTTCAAATCAGAGATACAAAAAGGTTTAAGGAGAAAAAAATTAAGGCAAAACTATACAACAAAGTAACAGTCTAAGACAGTATGTGTAATGCAGGAAACATGCACTCTGACTTACTCTTTCTGCTACTTTATCCAGAAAAAAATTAAAGCACTTGTCCTGGGAAGCATAATCTTCCATCAACATGCAGTCAGCATACTTTCTTGATGAGTTTTTGATCAGAAATGGCAATGTATGAAGCCAGCAAGAACACACCCACACCACAAAAATCTTCCAAGAACTCGACAGAAGCAACACAAACACACAGGAGCTGCTGCCCCTGCATCAGACCAGAGCTGTGTGTAGCCTGTTTCATTAAGATGGTCACAACTGCCTTTCAAAGTGAAACTTGACACCCTAAGTTCAGTCCCAAAAATGAATGGTAAGTCAAATATAAGCCAATTTAGCCCATAATGGATGATCAGTGGCAGAAAAAAATTAAAAAAAAATTTAGAAAAAATCACAGTATGTAAAAGAAATTTGTCAGGTTCCTTTTTTTCCTACGGTTTTGAACCAGCTGCAGAAGTACGCCAGGCCCATGAGTCTGGAATGACCTTTGCCTTGTTTGTGAGCTTCAAATTCTGAAAAAACAACTTCAGGGAAAGACTGGCAAACACAGAGCGCACACAGCCCCGGCTGGGTTCTGCCAGCTCTGTGCTTGTGTACAGGTCTGAAGAACTCTGCATTTGGGAAAATCATGCCTGGAAGTCAGCAGCTATTCTCAAGTATTTCTCTGCAGTCAGTTGTTACTCCCCTGCCCATGCTCCCAGCAGGCTGGTTGGCAGCACACACAAAGCTCTCAACAGACCAGACCTGGCTCTTTTCTAGCAAAGCAAGTTTGTAACTCTCTATTCACTTTGCTAAATTCTCTCATTCCAGAAAGCTGAAAGCCTGGCCTTTTTAAAACTGGTTCCAAACCTCCCAATGACTTTACTGAAGCCAGGATTATACCCTAAGGATGATGATTGTGAAATACACACTGAATTTAAAAGATGCTCCTATCAGTAGAAATGTGAATGCTGCTGGATGAAGCTTAAAAAGCAATGAAATGAATACAGCTAATGAACATGTTAAGATCACATACCTCATACAGTATACAGAAATTACTATGAGCTGCTTTTAAGGTGGGATGAGAGCCAATACAATCCACTTGGACCTGCTTTTCACTTAGGAAGATATTTAGGAAATACAGATTTTTTTTTTTAATGTTATCATGAGTTTGTGAAGTAAGCATAATAAATCAAATGTGTTAGATTTTAGCATTTCAACAAATAAGCCCAGACCAAAACAACCCTATACACACTAAATTTTACACAGAGACTTAATTGAGTTCTAAGGTACATGGAATTAGTTCTGCTCTCATGCAGGCACAAATAAAGAAATTTGATGTCCTTAGATGAAAAGTTAGGTTAGGCAGACAGAAAAAGGCATACATCAGAAGGAATTTTTAATATAAAAACCAATACCTGCAGCAGAGGTCCTGATTTTCAACCTGTCAACCTCCATGATAAAGTCATCTTTCAGGAAGAGGAAGCCAATGATGGAGAAGAGATAAACCAGGATGAGAGCAAGCACTGCAGTGAGGATAATTGAACGGCCATTCCGGGTAACACTTTTTATCACATTTAGCAATGTCTCCTCCCTGTACACCAGATCAAACAGCTGGGGAAGGCAGAGAGTAGAGGAAAAAAGAATACAAATGAGGCAATGTATAGATGCTACATAGGAAAACAATCTGAACTATTGAAACATACATCAAGCCATGTTCTACATTCTCAGCTTCATAAACTCACAATGATCTCAGTGGGAGCTGGTCATGCTTATGGAGGAGGAAATCTAGCACAGAACTTTAAATTTTAAATTAATTATAGCAAAATCCACAAAATATATTTGAGCCTGATCCAGAGATGGACAACACCTACCATCAAGATGTGTTGTTTCCCCATGTTTAAAACCAAGCTAGATTAAAATTTAAACAGTGTCTTCATACTGTGGATCTATATCTACAAAGTAATTTTTCATGTTATCTCATCTGACAAACGTGCACAGGCTACAACTCAAAAATACACTCATACATGTAAGTGATAACATATTTGTAAACTTTCTTTGAGCACATGGCATCATGTAAATGTCACATAGACAAGGACTGGGGGCACCTCTCCTTAGGACAAAGTTAAATTCACGTCACTGTTTGTATAAGACTAGAAACTTCTATTCTTCTCTACCCTGCACTATATGGTTTCCTGGTATTTAACTTTAAAGAAAACTGTATATAAAGATAATATAGCTTTAAATGTCAAAAGCCTAAACCAGCAATTAAACGTGACAGGAGCTTTACAAGAACCTTTAACCTTTTTGTTCCCCTACAATTTTCTTGATGTTCTGTAGTGTTTTTGGCCTTATCTATAATGTATGTACTTCTACTTCAAAGTACTCAGATTACAGATATAAAGCAACACACTATGATTTATCAAAATGCTCCACAGAAGAAGCAGATCAATTTATAAGATCTGAAATTGACAGCCTTGTGAAAGGATTAATAATAAAGAAAGAGGGGAGACAGTTATGAACAAATATTAGAGTTTAGACTACATCCATGCCTAAGTGAACACCTGGAAGCAACCTGGCTATGTGGATAAAGTCCATGAATCATGGACACTGGTCAACAGCAGTCACCGAAAAAAGTAAATACATAAAATGTTTCTTAAGCTGCTTGACACTTTGCAAAGTATTTTAAGATAGACATCACCTAACTCATTGAAAGAACAGCAAATAATTTGTGCCTTTTTTAAGCAGGAGAGTTACATCCATTTGAAGAAGGTCCTGCAGCTACAGCCACAATCTTGGCTCCTTTGGAATCTGCACAAACTTTGAAGCAGACTTGAATGTCAAAATCTGGAAAGTCTGACTTCAATAGGAGCTCTGCCTGAGTTAGCACTGAACTCTTGAAAATTTTAGTGTGCTTAACACATCTTTGAAATGCTGGGAGTTCACCACTATGCAAGAAGCTGAGAAAAAATACAACAGGAAATATAATGACCACAGTTTACTCAGTGTCCCTACAAGTTTCACATGTTCCACTACAGAGCAAAATGATTAGCAAACAAGAGCAGTGAAACACCTTTTACTGCTACTCAGCATGAAGGGAACAGTTAATGGAGTTTAGCATAATTTGTGTGATTCATTTTCACTTCACCTGTACCACGTTACTAAAAGGCATTCCATCTGGGTAATGGCAACAAAAGAAAATTAAGTGGGATACATTTCAAGTGATGAATTTTCCTGCCACACCAAAGGCATGCCATCCCCATTTCCCAAGTAATTTGTTAAAAATGTACTGGGGAATGTATTGAGGAATGGGATCCTTTGGTACGAGTATGATGCACACAGCCCTGGACAACTGCCGCCAAAATGTTACAACTGCCAGAAGACACAGGAACAGTGGATACAGAATATGGAGAAAGCTGGGAAAAAGGAGTGGGCTGCGTGATTGTCTGAGAAGAAAGGAGCAAACTTTCAGCTCTAAAACAGGTAAAATAAGTCCTAACAGAAACAGGTTCTAATAAAAACAGCAGCTCTTAAGGGGCAGCAACACAATGGCATACTAAAAATACACAATTTGGCTTGATTTGTCAGGAAGAAATTGAAGACAGCTGCATGGGTAACGGTATTTTCTATTTTTGCAAAATTTTCCCCTCCACAGCAGCACGTACTTACCAGGAAGCTGTAGAAGAACTCGTGCACGCAGAGGCCCAGCATACAGACCAGGACATAAGCCACGTGGTAGAGAAAAGCCATGTCCATGATGACTGCTCTGTAGCCACGGGTGAAGGTCCCACGGTTGCCAACAAAGCTCACCAGGAACACAATTTTGTTACAGAGCTGTGGGGGGTAACAAAGCCTAGGTTTATGCCTCAGAAAAATCCTGGTATTTATTGTTTGGGTTGCTGTCTAGATAGGTTGGTTTGACTAAATGCACAACTTTTAGATAGCTGGAGTGAGGTGAGGGAAATCCAGCTCTGACAGTGCACTGGGAATGAGCCCATGAGGGTAAGTGGAAGTACATCACCTCTCCAACATTGCACCATGCCTCATCACACTGTGATTTATTCCTATAACATTAATAGATAGGCAGGGTTAATGTCACAACACATTAAAATCCAGCTGGGGAGTGGACTCCCAACAATTTTGACTTTAGATCCGAGACTATGTAAGAGCAGGTAGGCATGCTACTACAAGAGAACAACAATAACACAAAAGAAAGTGTGGGGGGCGTGTGTGAGATCTATTTCCTTCAGATCATGTTCTTCAATTTAAAATCCCTAAAAAAAACCCTCAGAACTGAGGACATTTTTGAAGTATAGCATTTAAACAGCAGCATCGGATTCTCCATGGCTCCCAAGCTTTGCCTGCACACGAGCAGCAGTGCAGCAGTGAACAGGAAAGGGTCTCACCTCATCTCTCTGGCAGTCCAGGACAAGGAATGAGGACTCAACATGACTCCTTTGCTCCCAAATTTGACATGGGCAAGTGCGCTGTTTACTTGCCTTTACCTTTGACTGTATGTCTGGGTATTTTTCCGTATGTGAAATTCTCACATACAGAACTGGTGGCAAACAGCCCAATACTTTGTGCTGGGGTGAATTAGAGCTGTAGCAGTCAGGCAGAAATTTAAATAGATGACTTGTGAGCACAACTGTGTATCTTACTAAACTCAGTAAGCATGCAGACTTATTCATGACTAAGTTAAGAGATCTGGTAAAGGGCTGAGAGAATTTTTAATTTTGAAAACTCTTTTCTTCCTGAAAATATATTTAAGGTCTCAGAAACATTTCACAAATTTGTGTCAATAGTGCTGAGAGTATTGGCAGAGAAAATTATTCTTTTAACATGAGAAAGTGTAGATTTTATTGCCCTTACGCAGCAATATTTGTTTAAATTTCATATTGTTTTTGTTTTAAAATTATTTGCATATGCACAAAACTAAAGCAACTTTTTTCTTAGCTTCCCACTTCACTGACACTGCTGTTTCAGGATGACTGGAAATTATCTATTTCTTGGCTTAACCAATGAACCAGAAAAAGAAGTTTTTGCACAGCTCTAATAAAATGAGTTTTTTAATAGGAGACTCTTAATATCTTTCCTTCTGTTGAAAGGGAAATTCTGGTTGCTTTTGAAGTACTTACATTAGCCGCACCAAGGAGTATCAAGGTAGGACCAAGCCCTATAGTATATATAGACCTGAGAATAACAGACACCAAAAAGGGTCGAATGCCAACAGGCTTGGAGATGAAAAACAGCATTGCTGTGCAAAACGCCACTGCTATCCAGAGAAGCACGGAAAACAACGGTGAGAGCGTGCCTGTGCAGAGGAGAAAGGGAGATTTGAGAAAGGCATCTTTGGAGACTCCATTTTTCACCAAGAAACGGATCCAAAAGATCAATTCCTTTGCCAGCAGAGCTAACAAAAGCATGATTCATGCATCACAACTGCTGACCACAGCTTATCCTTATTGCAGCAGGAGCAATTATTCTCAGAGTATTGTTGCTTTTTGCACAGGTAATAATATGAGCAGTTAATGAAATTTCCATTAAAATCCAGGGAGTGCTCAGAGATGGAACAGTTTACCCTTCTCCTGGAGCAAGCCACTAATCAGCTCCCTTCTGCAGGGATCATTAGGGCCCCTCCAGTCTGACTCCATGATTGCTCAGCTACAGAAATAGCCGGTCCTGGGGGCAGCACAGCAAGTGGCACCGTGCTGCAGTGCCACCTTACCAGCCACGGCTCCCGAAAAAGCAGCTCCCTCCCGAAGGGCCACAGCTGTTCCGAGGGAGCCTCCGCCTCTGCATGAGAGCGGAGCGCTGGACACAGCGGGATCAACCCGGGCAGGGCCAGGCAGCAGCTGCGGGGCCCGCAGCGCTGAGCAGCTGCGCTTGGCTCCCGGGCAGGCAGCGGGGCCCAGGGCCTGCTGCCTGCACTTCCAGTCCCTGCTGCTCTGCAAGATGCTGACTCCAGGCACTCCCTGAGCTTTGAGTGATGCCCCTGTTTTCCCTCTCTCCTCTGCTTAAAGCTCTGGAAACACACCATGCTGCTGTGATATAAAAAACACATTCAGATCTCAGGGCACTGTCACACTTGTACACTGACTTCTATTGTCATGGGATGAACTGACAGGTCAGTGACAGGGGAGAAGGAAATAGAAAATTTAGCTAGATTCACAATAGGAATCTCTTTGGAAACAGATAAACAGTTGAGCAGCATCACTGGGTTTAGAAAACAATGAGACAAGGCCCTAGCCTCAACATTCAGATGGCATCTGAACTTTTCCAAAATTCAGGAGTGTTTCTATCCCTGGTGGGAGGTTCAAGGTCAGCTCTAGCAGAGAACTTCTTTGCCAACAAGATTTGGAAACTTTTAATGGATCCTAAAAAAAATTACTTTCAAGCCCATCTGAAAGGCAAGGCCAAAGTTCTCTGTGGTTCTTTCACAAACCAGTTTTCCTTCTTCCCTACTGCAGGTCCAGCAATTTCATGTTTCAGGACCCACACCAGTACCATGTGCAGACAGGCACCCTAGAGGCAAGGAGTCTTCACAGAATCATGGTTTGGGCTGGAAAGGACCTTAAAGATCATAAATTTCCATTCTCCCTGCCATGGAGGCCATGGGCAGGGACATTTTCCACTATCCCAGGTTGCTCCAAGCCCCATCCAACCTGGCCTTGGACACTTCCAGGAAACCAGGGTCAGCCACAGCTTCTCTGGGCAACCTGTGCCAGGGTCTCACCACCCTTACAAGAAAGAGTTTTTTCCTAATATCTAAACTAAACCTACTCTCTGTCAGGTTGAAGCCATCCCCCATTTCCTGTCACCATGTGCTCTTGTCCCTTTCTTTCTTTTAGGCTCCCTTCAGGAATGGTGTTCAGCTGGAGCAGTTTTGCCTATGTCATATTACATAAGAACTGCAAGTAGCTACTAAAAGACGGCATTTTGGGATGATTAGACCAGTCCAGGCACCTCAGACAGGTGAATACAGGTGAATTTACAGGGTGAAGGGGAAAAACTGGGAGGCAAACTCCAGCTGTTGGATCAGGCTTTGGTGGAGAGGGAGGCTGGAAGTAAGGAGGCTGCCTCAATACCTGCTAATCCGATTTGGCCACACCTATTCCTTATTGCTCAGGAGTCGCTTTGGCTTTACAAGCACCAGGAGCTGGAATCCTGAAATGCACTGTCACTGGATTACTGGGGCCACTTAAACTAATGCCATATAAATCTGCAGTTCAGAATAAGTATTAATACCTGCTGATTGCAGACTAGAGGATTTCCACAAGTATAGATTAGCTAAAATTTAGTAGCTTAAAAGGTTTATTTTTAACCCTTTATTTCTCCTCTCATCCTCTGTGGACTCTAATGTGCTCTGAGTGACTTCCCAATTTACAAAGCACAAGATGCTTTCCTTCTCGAGGGCACAGCCCTGCAAATCTGCCTCACTCCAGGAGGCTGCCTGAGCTGTGACCTGCAAAGACCACCCTGTGGGCTGCGAGGGCAGCATGGTCCCCATGCCAATATATTTTAATCTGCTGCCTTTCTGTTCCGCCAGCCAGCAGGAATGTTTGCCGGTGCCAGCTGTGGTGCTTGTGAAAAACACATGTATCTAGTAGGATCTGGACTGCTTCCACCAGTGCAGTTCACATGCCATCAGACAGAGGTGACTTTCAGTCACATTACTGACTGACCACGAATCAAAGATCCAGAGGTGAATGGCTCTGCTACCATTACCAGTATTCTAAACTATTTATCCCAATTAAGCTTGTTTGGCCTTCAAAGAGGCCTCCTGCTAGTCTGCTGCATTTATAGCAAATAAAAAACTTCATTAAATATTTCCTGTGATGGAATGGGATGAAGCGACAGAATCATAAGTTTTAAGAGTATTTTTGCATAATGCATTTTCTCCTCTGCAAAAGTTATGCCCTTTTATCCCAATAAACAATACAGTCAAAAGCCAGCAAGCTAGTTTTCAAATAATTCTCTTCCATATGTTTTCAAGACTGCAAGTAATTTAATTTGGTCAGACTTAAGCTCTCCTGCCAGGAATCCTCCTTCAGTTCAGAAGCTGCAGCTAAATGTGTGCAGTAGGACACTGCAATATGGCAATATAAAAAAATTAGCTGAGATATCTAGATAATCTCCAGTTTATGCTCTGTCCATTCTGTTCTGCATTGTGTGGGCCATGTGACACACAGATCAACCACCACATTTCAGACAACATCTGGTACCTACTTAGGAGACACTAAATGGCATCCAGATGTGACTGCACCTGAAAATACAGCTTTATTTGTTACCTTAGAAATAAAAGCATCTAAAATTAAAACAAAAAATAAGACCAAACTCTACTTGCCTTCATCTCCATCATCTCCAAAAGGGTAGAACAGAGCAACTGCTAAATTGATGAGTACAGCAAGGTTGAAGGAAATGCTCCCCCAGAGAGAGATGTGTCTGGAGAACCAAAACAGGGCTGGATTATCTAGAAAGGGGAGAAAAGCAGCATCAATAAGCTGAAAGCAAGCAGAAACTCAATCACCAATGGCTCCAAGGGAATTAAATACAGATTAATGTAGAAAATATGCAGATCTTTAACTAAAATAGATAAATATTAAACATAGGTTTGCCATAAAACAAAGTTTCAAGCAGAGCTTTTAATCCGAAGATCACAGTACAGTTTATTATATACTGGAGTCTTGCTTCTGGTAAGATTTTAGGCCTAGATATTTTGCAAGGGAGTCTTTTCAGCTGCATCTGAATCTGCAGCTTCTGTGCATGGGGACATAAAAACAAGCAAACAAATAGATTTTAGCACTCTAAATGCCAGTCAACCAGAACACCCAGAATGTATCATCCAGATGACCTATTTGGACCAAGTAGGCCGATGACATAGGCAAAGAACCATGGAATAGGCATGGTTTCACAACTGCAGTGTTTTCCCCACCTCTGTCAAACTAAAAACATTTTGATCTGCTTGGGAAGCAGGCAAAATTTGGTCTGCCTGGGTTTTGTTTCTACAAAAGCTGACTATTTCCTGTGTGATGCTCAGAAGCCCATGGTTACCTGCTGACAAACAGCTCTGTACTCCTGCTTAAAAAGACTCAAACAAGCCATGATCTCTATATGTGAAGTGTACAAACACACAGAAATAGTCCATATCCCGAAGAACCTACAGCCTAGCTAGAAAAGACTAAAAAGGGACAAAACAGTGTTGAATTTGTGTCCAGAGTCACACAGATGGTTCAGCAAGAAGGTCAGGAACAAGATCAGAGTGTGCTAAAACTCAGGCAAGCACTTAATATCTATTAATGCACTAAAATATGTTTAAATGAACATTTGAAACAAGATTCTCTGTGTAATAGTGTAAAAACATCTCTGGCCAGAGAGGTATCACACATGATACATCCCTATTAACTAGATTTTAAAGTACTGAAAACTTCCTGCAAATATGCAGAGCATCCAGTGAAGTTTTTACAAACAGCAGATTCCTTCAACTGCATATGACTGCCTCAGGCTTTAGGACAAATAGTCTTTAATAGCAATTAGGTAAATATTCAGATTTCACTGTGATAACCTTGTGCTGCTGACTGCTGAGATTTAAGCATTTGGAGCCATTGCAAAAATGGCATCTGTCAATTTAAGCAGCACATACTTCATGCTAACAGACACTTAGCTAAAGAATGAACCCAGCTTCAACCTGAATTATCTATTCAAATAATAAAAAAACCCCAAAAAACCAGCATAGAGACTTGTGGGCTATTCTACTGATGAAGGGAATTGAGAAATTTTTGCTCTGAATAAAAACAAACCCATTTTCTTTCTTTATAGCATTAGGCAGGTCTGGTCTATCTAATTGTTGGGTTGGCTCTTTTATCTGTGTTTCTAATGCAAAACCCCCAGATATTTTTTTTTTTACTGAAGTAATTTTTCTACAATACAAAGACTTTTATTCCCAAATATTCTGCAGATTCTGCAATCATGTATTTTTCAACTTCTATTCTGGTCAGTTTGTCACTACTAAATTTTTAGGGTGCAACCAAGAGAAGCAGATTTGAGTTGATGGGGTTTAATGCTGAAGACTTGCTGCTGCTGAAAACTAAAGCCTGAGAATTGGCATATAAGAAATTGCAATAACATCCATGTTTCCATCACATTCAGGATGTTCCCACACTGCTCTGACTATCCTGCTGCTCTAGACCCCCTTCCTTCCTTCCTTCCTGATCAATTGCTGTGAGCAGATGATGTGTGACACTCCAAGAGCATCTGCATTTTAGCAGTGAATGAAGTGATCACTTTAAGCCATTTTTATATACGTTCAGCCTGGAAAAGAGAAGGCTTTGGGGTGACCTAATTGCAGCATTCCAGTGCCTGAAGGGAGCCTTCAGAAAAGATGGATGAAGACTCTTTAGAAGGGCCTGGAGTGACAGGACAAGGAGCAATGGCTTCAAACTAAGGGTAGGTTTAGGTTGGATATTAGGAAGAAATCGTTCCCTGTCAGGGTGGTGAGGCCCTGGCACAGGTTGCCCAGAGAAGCTGTGGCTGCCTCTGTGGCCTGCAAGTGTCCAAGGCCAGGCTGGATGGGGCTTGGAGCAACCTGGGATGTGGGAGATGTCCCTGCCCATGGCAGGGGGGTGGAACTGTATGATCTTTAAGGTCCCTCCCAACCCAAACCATGATTCTGTGATTCTATGATATATAAAATACAACTTTCTGCTCCAAAAGCCAAGGGCAGAATTGACAGTGGCTGAGCTGGCAGGACCCTCCTGATCCAGGCACATTGGCAATAGCTCCATTCCTGCTGAGGGCCAGCAGCTGTACTGCCCACCAGGGAGCTAAAGACATTCAGGGTACCTAGTGGGGCTTCCCTGCCCCTCCTCTTGGTGGCCCCACTCTGACCTCTCCCCTGATCTTGACCAAGCAGCTCAAGGCCACACACGTGCCTCTCCAGTACCATGGGACATGCGCCAGTATGGACCAGCTGGGACACCCTGCAGCCCAGTCATGCCAGCCTGATGTGGACTGTCAGAGGGGGACTGACTCCATGGGAGCTTGGCAGATTTAAGCAGCTGAGGTTCTGGTGAGAGATGTTTTTAAGTGACTGACGTTTTTGAGTCTTTTAATGGCCTTTCAGGAACCTGCATACCTCAAATATGCAGCTACACATACATTTTTCTGTTAAATATTAGGGCTTAATTAAGCGCAACACTATCAAGACTAGTAGAACTACACCCAGTTCTTCCATTCCTCAATTTAACTTCTGGAGTCCAAAACATAATCTTGAACACATTAATACCTGCTCCATATTACACTTCTTTTACGGTGGCATGCAAGTGTCTCAGCAAACCTACACTCCCAAGCCTGGAACAGTTTTGCCTGTTGTAGTGTCAGAGTGAACAGAGAAAAGTGTATCATTAAAATGAAAGTACTTGAAGGTTTAAAAGCAAGGTTTTAGCATAATAAAGCTATTTTTCTCAAATTACAGTACTTACTTCTAATTTTCTTTTGCCATTTCATCTCGTTGTACAGATCCTCAGCCTGCTGGAAAAAGTCAATGACTTTGCTCCCCTGTTCATCTCTCTCTGTTGTATTGAACACCCGACTTTTGGATTCCCGAGTGAGGAATTCACAAATATTGGGGACAGGAAAGACAATCTTTTCCATTGTTCTATCATGGCGAACAATCTATAAATAAAATGCACATTTTTGTCAGTCAGTGACTATCCAATCATTTTGTCATATCTTTTCTTGTTCACAGCTCCCCTTTTATTTACAAATGAATGCATTAATTATTTGAACATTACAATAAAGTTGGACCAATCAATCCCAAAACACAGTAAAGCTGTTTTTATTTTCAAAAGCCTGCCTGAATAAGGTATATAATATTATATATATAAATATAAGTCTCAAGAAAAACCTAGGTTCAGACTTTGCCAAATATAAAAATGTTGCAATTCAGGATGCTTCAATTTGTCAGCAAATTGAAACAAATCTTACCCAGTAAAAGTGGAGAAGTACAGGGGCTTTCTGCTCTGATTACAAAATGCTTTTCTCATCTAGAATCTATTTCTATGATGGGATAAATTGTAAAGGTGAACATGCAAAAATATCACTCAGGCAGTACCCATATCTTGTCAGTCTTTATCTTTTTACTTGATAAAACCTAAGGTTTTGAATTGTTTACATTTCAGCACCTACCAAGCTACTGGTGAGCAAGCTAGATTTTATTTAATCTCACCACACTGCCATCAAATTTGCTTCCTCATTCTGATCATTGACTCTGCATTACTAAAAATACAGAAATGGGTAGAAAACCCTTTTAGACTCCTACAACCATGCCTCTGTGCAGCCACTGGTGAAAATAAAAAACCACCACTATTTGAATTTCAAATCAAACAACTGAGATATGTTAATAAAGGAGATATAATATCTGAAACACCAAACAGGTCTAGGACTGCTTTCAAAGACAAGCAGTTATCTATTTATTGTATAGCAGCAATGCTGGGTTGAGTTTCACTTTTCTAGAAGAAGCTATTGGCCAGATAAAAGTTGACCACAGTGCTTGTTTAATGCCTAAATTTACCAGCTACCCAGATAAACTGGCTGATAATTGCTAAGAGAGATCTCAGCAGCAGCCAGAGTATTAAAATACATTAAGAGAAGCACTGAGCTGCCCTCTGGACAACCAAGGCCGTGTATCTTCCACCCACCCTGTGGTGGGATATCTCTGTGGACCTCTATGTAAGTCCAACCCATGGCAGGTGTAAAGTTTAAAACAAAGAACAGAACTGCTGAACCAGGCCAAACCTTGGTATTTTAAACAAAAGCCATATTGAATGTCTACACCAATTCAAAACCTCTTTGTACTCCAGGCAGAGTTTTGACCAGCCAGAATCATGGCTTTGAAACTCATGATTATTTATTTGAGTGATGTACCATAGAAGACGATTCTTGACTTCATGACACAGCTCCTGTCCACAGTCATTATTTCCCTAACAAAACATGTTTGTTAGCACACAGGAAAGCTATTGGGAAATGATGGTTTGGAGCCACTTCTAATATAGGTGTATTCCTTTATCTTCCACAGCCAAAAGCATATTATTCAACCTTCTCCTTAAAAATAACCCACACCGTTTGGAAGCTTAAAAAGAGGAGATACACCACATGCAAGATGCAGACTTGTCTCACAGTCCATCTTCTGGAGAGCAGTCCTTTACCTCTATCTGTGCCGTATGTTTGGCATAAAACCTCAAGGCTTCATCTCCTTCATCTGGATCTGACCCTGGCTTCAGCATCTGTTGCAATGTTTTATTGTGACAAGCCAACTAGAAAAAGAAGAAAAATCTGATTTATGTCCTGCTATGCTTTCAGCTTTATCATCTCCACTTAACTAACAAAAATCCTCCTTCCCCCCATTCCCATATACTTACATGCTCAACCCAGTGGGGCTCTTTCCACAGATAACAACAAAATGTAATTACTCAAGAACAATAGAAATAATTTAGTCTTAAGGAGCAGAAAGTCTTCAGTTGTGATTTATGAAAGGCAGCTTAGTCTGCAGCCTGGATGGTTTTTGGAGGGCTTTTGACAAATGCCAAAAAATTAGACTGAATGCTTCTTTTCATGTGAGTTTAGACATGAAATTTGCATACCTCTGAATACGAAATTACATTTACAATTAATTTTTCTCAGTGACTTCAAAGGGCTAAACTAGGTTGTAGGTTGGTATTCCAGGGCTGTAACTTTTTCTGAGGGAGCTGGACTGTAGTGCCAGGCAAATTCATCCTTAACTGTACCGTTTATATACACAGCAAATAGATACATACACACAAATATGTATCTTCTATAAACTTAAAAAAATTACACACTTCACATGATTGAAAAAATACATCTGTCACATGTTGAGTAGTACATATTTTAAATGCTCCATTGCTGTACAAAGTTTAAAAAGAAAGGTGTTGGCAAATGCATTCACAACATCCTATAGATGAGTGAGAAACAAAGACCTAATTATAAGGCATAAGGAAATTACTAAAAATTAATTTTCCCTACATCATAGCAAGTGGTTTCCATCCAGAATAGCTGAGGTGTTTCACCTGTTTTAAGATGGGAAAAACTGCAGCAGGAAAGAGAGGAAAAGCCACCTCACAGACGTGATCCAGGGCTGAACGATCACAGCTGACATTACCACAACAGACCATTAGAAATAAGGCAGGCATGCACTCAAAATGACCACAGGAACTGGGGCTTTGAAGTGATGAACACCACAGGTGGGCTGGGATTGTGCTACATGAAATTGCACAGCCTGGTGAGGAATTATAAAATAATTGCACAGCTACAAAAAGCCTGACAGGAATTAAGTCTAAAAGTAACAATGGATCCAAACAGACACTGTAATAATCTAACCAGCACGATCTCGCTCATCTGGAATTTGCATGTCTCATTATGTCCTTTTTTTTTGTAACAAAAAGGCAGGGGAGAGGTACATATACAATTTAGTCCATTTATTGAAGTTCCCTAGCATCTACTGATCAAAATAAATTTTCTTCTGAATCTCAATACAAACTTATTAAATAAAGATTAATTAAAAATGGAACGTCCAAAAGTAAGAGAATATCAGAAAGTGATATTCCGGAAGAATAAATGTGCTTCCAGCAACTTCCTTGGGGACAGAAGTCTGTTTGGTCCTAACAGCACAGCCTGAGCCAATGTGGCACAACATCAGCATTTCATAAAAGTGTCATGAGCAAATATTCAGGGAGACCAGCAAAGAAATGTCATGGGAGTTAACTGCAGAGGAATATTCCTTCCATCAGTAGCAGATTTCTGTCCTGAATAGTCACTTTTTTACTGTATCTAGCAAGTGCATTGGTAGTATCATTACACATATCAATGTCTTTACCTAAACTTCCACTTTTTTTTGAGACTAAAAAGGTTCTTTAAGACTATCTGACAAGTTCTTCACCCTCACACAAGCCAAATAATCTGATCCAACCAGCAGCTTTTGCAGCATGACCACAACAACTGCTTAGCAAGACAACTTGAATTCATCTCCTAGAGGTCCTTGCATGCCCCTAAGACATGCTCTAGAATCAAGGAGAAAGAAGATGAGCCATTGGAAACGAGATAGTTACTGTTTAAAAATGCCCTTTCAACAGTGTTATTACTTTTGCCTTTCTGCTTTATTGGATGTCCCTCTGCTTCCATACTTACGAAAGGGCAAGCAGGAGTGCCCAGTTCACCTTCTCTGTATCATTCTGTACACTACTGTCACATTCTCTTTTATTTGTCTCTTCTTTAAATTAAAACAATCCCTATCCTTCCCATCCCTCCTCAAACAGAAGACTCTCTGTGACTCAGTTATTTTCCCTGTGTATCTCCACGTGCCCTTTACTTTGGCTATATCTCTTCTTTAAGATATGAAGAAGAGCACTGACGAGACAGAATGCAATCACACCGTGCTTGGAGTGATGAATTAGCATAACCAGGAGCAAATATATTCCCCTTTCATTATCTTCTGTAATACAGAGGAACTTTGCCTGTATCTTGACCTTTATTTCTCCAATGCAAACCATTAAGATTTTCAGTTTTCTAACAAATGACAAATCAAGGACACATGGACAGTTCTTATTAAAACTATGCCAGTTTGGAGTAAGGGACCTGCTATAGATTCAGAATTTTCCATTAGTACCCCAAAAAACTTTCTATATATGTACTTGAACTCGTATACAGAATTGGAAATGCCATTTGTAAACCAAATAAAAACTCTAGATATTGCTTCCTTATATGCTTTGAACTGTCCATAACTTTTACTGTAGAAGTCTCTCTTGATAAGTATCAGTAACAGAAATTCCCTTATCACATGGAGTAGAAGGGAAAACAATGTCAGCCTCTCATGCTCTAATGGGACTGGCTAGGACAGGATGTTCAGAGCCTGCTGAGGATTTGAGATTGAGCATATTTTGCTATCAGGTTTCACATGAACAGCAGCCATGCTCTTTAAAATAGTGTATATTTGGTCATCTGCACTGTGCTTTCTGTGGCTGTGACTGTCCTGTGCTGATGTGTGAACAGAACCTAGCACTGCACAGCTGGGGCTTTCCAGCACAGCCACTGGACAAAGTGACCTGAAGAACAAGCCAGGATTTTCTGTGCCAGCCCCTTGACTGCTAGGAAAGACACATTAGAAACAAGGGATTTCTGACCAAGCTGGAGGGGCTGCAGCACATTTCAGATGGGGAACCTACCTAAGGCACCAGCAATCTTCAGCTGGTAAAGCTGAATGTTTTTCACTCATAATTTAATTTCTCTCAGCTTCCAAATCTCTCAATATCCACTTACCTTCTGTGTACTCTAGACATTCAGACAGTAAACTCAGGGCAAAGGGCCCATCAGTTTTCTGCTCATATCTCGGTTTCTACACAGAATGGATTCCTCTATATTGACACAACAAGAACTACTGCTAATATTTCTGTATTGCCACAGCCACACTGATGAAACAACATTGTGGACAGAAATCTGAGAGGGCTCAGATCCAAAGCACAGGCCCACAGTATGACACAGAACAGCTTTAGGAATTCTGTTATTTGGCAACCATGGTGTTTTCTGAAGCTCTGCTCTCGTGAACCTTCTTTCGCCCCTTAAAAAGCTCAGAGGCCCACGTGGGCCAGGGGGACTGTGTCAACAGATGTCTTGACCAGGGCAGAGCTTTTTGTGAGATCAAAGACACAGCCATGAAAATAACAATGCAGTGACAAACTGTGAAGCTAAAACACAGAAAGCTTATCCAAGTTTATAATACACCTAGGTGACAGTTTGTGCATGGCGGGTAAAGGCCGTGCAAGCTCTGAGTGATTTTTTTTTTCGTATTTAACTGCTGTGATGCAGTATTATATCCAGTGTGCTGCACAAATTTTTTGGGGCAGATGGAGGACATGGCACAGGATGGACATGGCTGAGAGCAACTACAATGAGAATAACAGTTCAATTTATGTTTGCAAAGCAAAGCTCAAAAATGCACCTCAAAAATACACTGCAAGTGTAACTGATACAAAAGAAAAAAAAACCAAACCATCACTAGAGCCTGAATTTGCAAAGAGCACCAGAAAAATCACCGTTGTGGAGAAAACTCCCTCACTCACTCACACATCAGCTATGCCAGTGACAATATTTTAAATGTCAACATTGTATTTTACTGCTCATCAAGGCGTGTAGTGACAAGGAAGCAATAGCACATAATGGAACAGTGATTTCCAAAGAGGGGATGTGCAAGGCAATAGCTATATGAATAAAGATTATTTGGCTTTCAGTCAGCTTCCAAGGAAGGACTGCTGTTCATCTTGAAAGATTTTTACTTAAAAAATTTGGAAAACACTGTAATAAAGCATCAGTACAAAATGTGAAAGATTGAGGACGGACCAAGAACCCTGAAGACATTAATAAAGAAACAGTAGAGATAAACGACAGAATTACAAGTAATACTCAGTCTAAACTCCTGACACAACATGACTACAAAATCAGATCTGCTACTCATCTGGGATGCCATATATGATCAGCAGTGTGGAAAACCACAGCAGACCCAGCTTTTGCAATTAATATATGGGTTTCCTGCAGGCCTGTATTTTTATAGCCAAGATTACCTTGAACAAAAATGAAGTTATTTAAATGCTCCTAAAGACTGATTTAAAGCTGTGAACATTTATTTCATCAGCCTGTCACTAACTCACTGACATGGTATAGTAAGTAGATTGGTTTGCCAAAATACCAGTGTGTGAATATATGTGTGCATGTGGAAAAATTGCTGGAAAAGAGAAAGTTTTTCTCCACTTTTCAATATTTCTGTAAAACACAGAGCCCCTCCATATTTTAATAAGGATATGTCAGTCCCTGGTTGTAACTTGTAAACTGCAGGGGCCTATCAAGTTCTCTTCAAAGGCATGAGGTCTTACCCAGTACACAGCTGAGATGGTTGTCAAAATTCCTGCTGATTATACCACGCTTTACTGAAGCCCCCAAAAGGACAAGAAATACAAAAAAATAAAAGTACAATAAATACAAGCTAGTGACACTAGATTGGAGACTCCCAAATTCTGAGAGATTTATTTCACTCCCCAGCATTTGAAAACTGCCAAACATGGCGGGGGGGGCAGGGGGGGGTGTGCAGGGGAGGGAGGGTAAAGGTTACTTTTTATGACTAGAATGGTATAAAGGGATCTAAAGGAGTGAGGTTTAGTGCAAGCCTGTTTAGTGTAAAGCCTGTCAGCAATCAGGCTTTTCAAGGAAGAGTCAGTTCACAGGCTAAGTGTCAAACACGTGGTTTCCTAGG